GGCCAGACTGCAGGGCCCAGTCTGTTCGGTACCTCAGTCCTAGTGAGGAACAAGCCACAGACTGAGGAAGTTGATGCAAGAGCCTCTAGCCAGTGTCCTTCCTGACTTTGTGCTGGAGGCATGTGACACCTCAGTAATGCTAATGCCCACAGTCCCAGGGGCCCAGACTCCCAGCCTCAATGTCAGCATTAAAACCAGGAAGGCAGGTTTACCTTTAGGCCCATCCTCAAGGACAATTAAAGGGGCCTGAGGTAGGCAGTTCCAGCTCACCAGCTGCTCCTCAGTAACCCTATACAGGGTTGATATGGGTCACAACCGACTTGATGGCACTAAACAACAACAACAAAACCATTTTCCCCACGCATTTTCTTCACGGTCTGAAGCTCCTTTCATAGGAGGTAGTCTGGTGTGGTGGACAGAAAGTGGAGTTGGAGTCAAGATGGAACAGTGGAGTCCTGGTGTGATGCTGTGGGTTAATGTGCTGGGCTACAAGGTCAGTTTGAACCTCAAGGTCGATGGTTCAAGCTCCCCAGCCATTCCTCAAAACCCTGACTTGAAGGCACTAACAACAGGATAGCTAGAAGCCCACTCTCTCTCCTCTCTCTCCCTTTCCCACTGACACACATACGCACACATGCTGCTGTTGAGTGGATTCCTACTAATACAAACCCTACAGGACACAGTGTTTGTGTCTTAGTTACCTGTTGTTGTTGTTAAGTACCGTGGAGTCGGTTCCGACTCATAGCGACCCTACACAGGGTTTCCGAGGCTGTAAATCTTTACAGGAGCAGAACACCTCATCTTTCTCCTGCGGAACAGCTGGTAGTTTCGAACTGCTGACCTTGCGGTTCGCAGCCAGATTCGTAACCACTACACTGCCAGAGCTACTTTTTACCAGGCTTAGTTACCTATTGCTGCTAAAACAGAAATACCACACCAGGGGGACTTAAACTAACAGAAATTGATATTTCTGTTTAAGCTACACGTCCAAACTGAGAGTAGCAGTTTAGGGGAAGACTTTCTCTCTCTGTTGGCTGGCTCTAAAGGAAAGTTCACATCTCTCTAACGTCTGCTTGGAGATCGCCATGTGTCTTGGCATCTAACTAACCCCATTTCTGCTTCTTTCCTTGCTTATTTAATCTCTTTTATATCTCAAAAGAGATTGATTTAAACCCATACTCTACACTAATCTTGTCCATTAACATAACAAAGAAAGCCCACCCCTAATGGGATTCTAACCACAAGCACTGCTCTTGTTAGGAACCATGCCATAGTTCTGGCTCCTAGCAACCCCAAGTGCAACAGAAACATTGCCTAGTCCTGCACCATCCTTACAATCACTGCTATGTTTGAGCCACTGTGTCAAACCATCTCATTGGGGGGTCTTCCTTGTTTTCATTGACCTTCTACTAAGCATGATGTCTTTCTCCAGATACTGGTCCCTCCTGATACCGTGTCCAAAGTAGCTGAGACTTCCTCTCATCATCCTCACTTCTAAGGAGCATATTTTAGCTGTACTTCCAAGACAGATTTGTTTGTTCTTCCGGCAGTCCGTGCTTTGTTCAATCGGCTTCACCAGCACCATTATCTTTCAGCACTAGATCAGACAATGTTCCACGACTATTCATAGGGTTTTCACTGGTCAATTTTGGTTTTTAGAAGTAGATTACTAGATTCTTCTTCCAGTCTGTCTTAGGCTGGAAGCTCTGCTCATACCTGCCCAGCATAGGTGACCCTGCTGGTATTTGAAGTATCAGCATCACAGCAGCCACCACAGGATGACAAACTGACAGATGAAAGGTGGTCCAGAAGCATATAGGTTAGGATTTTTAACACATGTGGTTTTTTTGGTAGACAATGTAATTCATAACAGTTTCCAAGGCTGCAAATCTTTATGGAAGGAGGCTGTTAGATCTTTTTCCCATGGTACAACTAGTGGTTTCAAACCATCAATCTGTCAGTTAACACCTGAGCACTTAAACACTGCATCACCAGGACTCCTATGGACGGAGCTCAAGTACAGAGAAACCCCCAGAATGACTGCTTCAATGACTGCCTATTTATTGACAGTGAGCAGGTGGTTCATGGGCTCTTTATCTTACTCATCTTTGTGCCCTAAACACGCAGCATATGAGGTGCAGAAAGGATGTCCCTCAAGGAAGTATTTTATAAAGCAGGTAAAAGGAGAGACCAGTGTCCCTAGACACCTAAGAATAGGGAACAGTGGCAGGGCTTGTGACCACCACCCAACACGGACCAGATGCTTCTGGTACAGAGACAATGACTGTCCCTCTGTAGAAGAGTTCTCCTCTGGGAACTTTTAAGGAAGAGAACGGCCAAACAGGTCTGCCCCACAGGAATCATGTCTTCAGAAGCACCAGCCCCATTGAGGAGTACCTCCTACTCTGGAAGGGGAGGCAAGTAGCCAGGACCCAGAGCCGCCATGTTGTATAACTCCAGAAAACACCATCCTCATAGACCACAGAGTGAACAGAGGCCCCTAGAGTTGTGCAAACACAGGTATCATAGATTGAATGTTGTGGGAAATTGAGTACCAGTGGGTGAGAAATGCGTGGTCTAGAACCCTTCCTAGGAAGACATGGGGAGGTGAGACCACACATGAGCTGAGGCTCCAAAGTATGTTCCATTGCCGCATTGGACCTCATTCATAAAATACAAAATCAAAGATAAAATTATTAGTAACTTTAAGACAGCAACAGTACAGCATTAAATCCTAAGCTCAGGGGTCTCTTAGTATGGGACTCTGTGTAACTGCTTGGTCACATGCCTCTAATCCTGTGGGAAAGATACATAAAGGTGCAACGTGCCATTGTAACGGAAGAGTGACAGTAAGGATTGAAGTGAAGAGGAACTGGGGTGAGACTGGAAATGCACATAAAAAACTTTGTTAAAGGGCAAAGATCCAAGCCATGGTATTTCTGGTCTCCTTATATGCATGTGAAAGCTGGACAATAAATAAGGAAGACAAGAGGAGAATCAATGCATTTGAATTATGGTACTGGATAAAAATGTTGAAAGTACTCTGGACTTCCAATCTGTATTGGAAGAAGTACAGTCACAACGCTCCTTACAAGCAAGGATGACAAGACTTTATCTGTTATACTTTGTTGTCAAGAAGGACCAATCGCTAGAGAAAGACATCATGCTTGGTAAAGACATCAAGAGAAGGATCAGCAAAAAAGAGGAAGACTCTCAATGAGATGAACTGACACGTGGCTACAATACTGGGCTCAAACATAACAGTTGTGATGATGGTGTTTCGTTCTGTGGTGCATAGGGTCGCTATGAGTCAGAACTCACTCGTCAGCACCTAACAACAACAGCCCCCTAACCATGAAGAGAATAAATCTCTGTTTGTTAAAGCCATACACATGTGGTATTTCTGATATGTTGTTCTTGTTGTTAAGTGTCGTCGAGTCGGTTCCGACCCATAGTGACCCTGAACAGGGTTTCCAAGGCTGTAAATCTTTACAGGAACAGAAAGCCTCATCTTTCTCCCGCGGAGCAGCAGGTAGTTTCGAACTGCTGACCTTGTAGATCACAGCCCGATTCGTAACCACTATGTTACCAGAGCTCCTTAGACAACAGGTTTAGGGCATATCAGTCCTTTGTGTGTCTGCCTCTGGCCCTTTAGATCACCCCTGTGATCCAAAGGCAAGCTACTCAGTCTTTCTAATTCAGTTTCGAAGTTATAAAGTGGAGCTAACAGTAGCACCAAACCTCATAGGGTTAATGTGAGGACAAAGTGAGACAATCTGTACAAAACTCTTTTGCTCAGTACCTGCCACAAGGACACCATCAAATACCAGCTCCTTTTGGTCTACATCCTCTTTAATAAAAAAACATTTACCCTCTGTGTAGTGTGTGTGTTCCTGCTTGTCTAGCGGGGTGTTAAGTCCATGAAAGGAAGGATGATGATTTTGATTCCCAGCAGGCATCAGAACCTGACAAGATAATCCTGATGGAAATTCCACTGTTGTTCATTTGTTCTGGCTAGGACTGAGAAGGTTCTATGATTCCACACCACATTTCCGTTTACTCCTTTGGTTGATGATGTGCTGGGTATAAGACAGGTCTCTAGAAACCCAGTGCCTTCAAGTCAATTCTGACTCAGTGACACTACAGAACAGACTAGAACTGTTCCTTCAGGTTTCCAACACCAAGTTTTATGAGAGCAGACAGCTTCCTTTTCTCCTGAGGAGTGGAGGGTAGGTGTGAATACCTGACCTGGCAGCTAGCAGCCCAGTACTTAACCCACTGCACCACCAGGGCTCCTACAACTCTAGACACCACTGAGATATGGTAATGACTATTCACAAACCTTATTGATTTTATCATTTGGAGCCACTGTTGAAGCACACGGTGCTCACAGCTATACCAGATAGGGCAGATAGTCCAAAGCTAAGTTTTGGTGTTTTTCTCTAACAGCTCCCTGTCCTTGTCTACAAAACCTCTTCTGTGTTAGGCAGCCAGGAAGGGAGATGGGGAGGAAACCAAAAGGAAGGCCCACTATCATGCCATGCTGGGGTAACAATGAGCCAGTGAGGGTTACAGAGCAGCCTCAGAAGCAGGTGGGAGCATCACTCATGGGAGATCAAACCACAACTGTGTATCCTACTGACTGCAAGTGTCCAGGTGAGTGGACCAGTGTTCCCAGCAGCTGGCTTTCCCTCAGTGACCAGCACATCATAAAGCAGATCTCAAAGAGATGGCAAATCAAAACACCCTCAAGGCAGCAAAGCCAGACCTAGAGGGCCTTACGTACCTGTCCCTGCTCTCATGCCCATGTGTCCCCTCCTGACTGAAGCTCCTCACCTATCCCTAGGTGAGAAAGTAGATCACCAGGCAGAGGGCCAGGAGCAGAGACACAGGAAATCAGAGCCAGAGCAGGGCTCCTCCTTGGAGATCATGGAGTCCCAGTGGGGGCTCCTCCCTGGAGATCACGGAGTCCCTGTGGCTGCCCGAGACAAGGGGAGTACCTGCGTGCCACTGCCCCGCATAATGTCCTCAGGGATGGCATAGATCTGGTTCTTCATCTCCACCCGCTGGAGGCCGTTGTCTATTACTTTCACCCACAGTACACGGAAATTGGTGCCTCCAAGGTCCAGAGCCAGGAACTCCCCGTGTTCTGTCGAGAAAGGAAGGGCCACTATTAGCTTCGGAAAGTCACTAAGTCACTTCACAGAGACTTCAAACTTATATTCCCCTACATAGAAGGATCAACTCTGAGAGGCAGGGTGGCCTGTGGTTTTATACCCATATGCATGTATTCTCAGAATTTATTTTTTCACTGTTGCAGCCATTTTTTAATTATCTTTTACAGTTTTACTTGCATGTGACAGTAATGATATTGTTTAATGATTTATGCATTCCATTGGGTCACCACTCTCTGGAATGGGCATAAATATAACAATCTTCCAACTGTTTGGCCAGGTCTTCCAAATTTCTTGGCATAGATAAGTGAGTTCTTACAGGGCTGCATCAGTTTGTTGAAAGATTTCAATGTGTATTCCATTAATTCGCAGAGCCTTGTTTCAGAATTATTTTCTAATGGTAGGTACCATTATGCTAAGGAGCTCTGGTACTGTACTGGTTACGAATCGCGCTGCTAACCTCAGGGTCAGAAGTTTAAAACTACCAGCTATTCCACGGAAGAAAGATGAGGCTTTCTGCTCCGGTAAAGATTTACTCCACGGCACATAACAACAACAACTCTTATGCCTCAGCTGTGTGCTTCATGCCCCTAGAACACCCGGCATATCACTCCAGTCCCATGGTCCCTGGGCCTGCTGCCAAATTGGTGCTCATTGTGCCAAAGTTATCTTTAAATGTTTGCATACTAGCATGACAATGTCCTCAGGCAGGGTAAGAGGGTCACGTAATGGATTGGAATGGGGTCCAACTGGCTATAAACTAAAAGGCCTAGCAAACAGGCCAACCAGTGCCCTCAAATATCTCTGGTTTATTGGACTATAAGAGAATGCTGACCTGCGTTTGCAAGTAGAAGAGGCCACTCAGCGAGTCAGCTCAAACCAACTATAGAACTAAAGGGGAAGGAAGAGTGAGACTTAAAAAAATGCCACAGACAAATGTGTCACAAGGAGGATGGCACAGTTCCTGCCCTCCAGGAAACCAGCAGCACAGACAGAGAGCATCCAGATTCTAGACAAAAACACAGGCAAGGCCTCCACTGTCTGAAATGAATGTGATAAAATGAATGAAAGTGATAAAGAAGCTGGAAGGAAGGGTCAGGGCAGTGAGCTGGGGAGGAGCAGGCTCAAGCCCACAGCAGCCTCCTCCAGTGGGACTGTCTCCCCGTCTTCCTGCCACCGTGCTGCACACTTTCTCTAAAAAGATAAGGTAATCAGTCTTGCAGAGACTCACTTCCCGGCATGTTCATCAGCACACACTCCCCTTTCCCAATGGGAGACTGTCGCTGCAGCAGGGCGAGTTGGATGTGAAGGGTCAGGGGCATGCTCTGATTACATGAATCACCAAGGGGTTATTCCCCTCTGCAGCTCCAACTCGCTCACAGAGACCATCACCGACAGTCACTAGAATTCAAAGGGGGAAGTTAAAATGGACAGCATTCAACAGACCACCCTGACCTTTCCAGGTGAGGACATAGACTCTGTGGGCCTCTTGCCTCCCCACACCCAGAGAACAGTCTGTCGGTTTGATTCATAGAGCATGGCTCTGGAGCCCACTTAACCTAGGTTACAGCCCCACTGCTTTTTAGCTATGGTTCCTTAAACAGGTTCCTGAGCCTCAGCTGCCACATTTCTTAAATGGGTACAGGCAGTCCCTAGGTTACAAGCATATAGTAATAACTAGGCTATATAGACGTAGTTTCTATCCCACCCTCATAAACTCTATTATATTGAAAATTCAAGGTATATACAAAGGTTTGTAGTAACAAATGGACATACTTTGCAACACACATCAAAACATTATTATTAGTGTCCTGGTGAGGTGCTATAGGATAAACATGTGATTGATTGCAATGTTGGTTTGAATAGCAAGGCTGGTGGTTCAAACTCACCAACTATTCCTCGGAAATACTGCACAGGTTTTCTGCATCAGAACCGACTCGATGGCACTTAGCAACAACAACACAGCATTGGCACTTTAAGATAAGCACTGGACTACTAACTGCAAGGCTGGCAATTCAAACCTACAAGGTGCTCTTCAGAATTCCCATACAGGGTCACTATGAGTTGGAACCGACTTGAAGGCACTTAACAAACAACATAACATGACTATTATGTTAAAGATGGTTGTGCTGTATCTACAAGGGTGTCTTCAATGTTTTGTGCACAGAATGAGATACTACACACTATATACATTTGACTAACTGACTTTAGATACAAACTACACCTGAGTGTTCCAACCTGAGTACAAATTCAACTTAAAGACAGACGTAGAAAGGTTCTTGTTTTCCTGGACATCATGCAGTAATTGTGATGGAAACAATTAGATAATGTGTTTCAAGCACCTCATCCAGAGCACCAAAGCTAGGACACACTCAAAAAGTACGAGAATCTCCCCCAATCCAGACTCTCAGCAAACACTGCCCAATGCCCACACTCGAGTTCTATTAACTCCAGGATGAGTGTTGCTTCTCTGACTGGTAAAAAACCAAACCAATAATGGGAGGGAAGACTGTAGAAACCTGTCCAAGAAAAGTCATTGGGATCTGCTCCAAGGATGTCAGCATTTCTCCTCAGGGGAGCCAGAGGTGTTCTCTGTTCCATCCCAAGCGTCTGGAGTCTACCAAAACTATCTTCAGGTGCCAGTTAGTTAAAAGTAACTCCAGTACTGTCTGAAGACTCTGCCCTGTTGTGGCCCTGGTGGTTTTTCCAGGCGTGCCAATTCTGAGCCTTCTTGGGTAGTGGAACCTCAGCCAGAGGCTAAGAGAAGCTATGAGGCAGTTGTCATGAGGAATGAACAGCCTACATCAGCAGTCGGAGACTCAGGACATGTGTGAGCTGCTGATTGAGTGGCAAAGGTGTTGTGCTGGGAGCTACAGGGGGAGGGTGGGGGTCCTCTGGTTAGTTTCCATTCAGGGCCATCCCAGAAACGGGATACACTTCAAGGGACACAGCTCCATTAAAGAAGGACAATGGTTGTGCAGTATTTTCTAACACTCCAAAGGGAAATCACAAATAATTAAAACACGTTAATATTCCATTCTCAGGAATGTCATCCCTTGTTCTCTTGACAAACTTCTCTGAACCAGACCTTCCTGTCCATTCTTGCTCCCTGCAAGCACAGAGAACCACCACCATAGCCAAGAACTCTATCCTCTCAGAGGCCAGAACCTCTGAGGCAGACCCCGTAGGAGACTCTTGAAGCTAAATCCTGAGGTAACCACTTGGGGCAGGAGACTGACCCTCTCCTAGTACCCACTTCCAAGCCATGGGAGGTCCCCAGAGAGCAATGAAGAGGACTGGACCCTTGCACCGGGTGAGGAAGCCTCATTTTGAACAGCTCAGGCACTTCACTACCTGTGTGGACCTCTCTGAGAATGTTTCTTTGCCAATGTTGTTATTGTTAAGTGACATCAAGTTGGTTCCGACTCATAGTGACCCTGTATAGGGTTTCCAAGGAACAGCTGGTGAACTTGAACCTCCAACTTTGTGGTTCAAACCAACCTTGCGGTCCATGCTCTATCCTACAGCGCCACTCCAGGACTCCTATAGAATTGAGCTAATAATGATGACTTCTCCCAGCTGTGGTAAGCTGACAAGTGATACAGAAAGTGTTATATGAGACTATATGGACATAGTGTTTTTGTTGTTAACATGTAACTATATAACACTTTGTGTATCACATGCAAGCTGACTATATGTGAACATATGGGCACAATGTTGTTCAGAGCAGCAGAGTCGGTTCTGACTCACAGCAATGCTGTACAGGATTTCCAAGGAGAGGCTGGTGAGTATGAACCACCGACCTTGTGGTCCAGTGCTTTATCCCACAGCACCACCCCCAGGTAGGGTTGTTGTTAATTACCATCCAATGGACTCGTGCCAACCTATGTATAACACAATAAAACAGTACCTGATTCTGTTCCACCTTCAAGATCATTGGTATGGTGATTAATCTTCATTCATTCATTCATCTCCTTGAGGGCTTCCCTTGCTTTTGATGACCCTCACTTTACCAACCATGATATCATTTGCTAAGTATTTGTCTTTCCTGATGACATATCTTCCAAAGTACATGTGTGGAAGCCTTACCATGCTCACTTCTCAGGAGCATTCTGATTGTACTTATTTCTTCTTTAAGATTGATTTGTTTGCTCCTCTTCAAAACACTAACAGTACAGTTCAAATGCATCATTATGGACACACAGTATGCCATCAGTGAATGACAACTTTTTAAATCATCCTTGTCTTTGTCTCTGCTGTTACTATTCCTTTACTTTTGTATAATTCCCTCTCCCAGTTTTTCTCAGCCCATCCAAATCCTACCAATTCATACTCCTGGCTCAAGATCTACATCCACAGTACACACCTGTAACATTCCAGAATCCCATCAGAGAGTGTGTGTGAACATGAGAAGGAGGGTGGGGGCCACAAAGGAGGAATGCAGCTATGGGCCTAGAACAGACTGGAAAGGGCAGGAAATCAACATGGCTATGGTAGGTCTCTTAAGGAAGTACAAAGTCACCTGACGAAGGACCCAGTAAGGTCTAGGGAGAACACTCTGTTGGACAATTACAGTTAGCATTTGAGACAACGATTAAGAAACCATCTTGTATAGCACTTACTTGTTGATGGTTCTTTCATAAAACAAAGTGTTTGAATGCTAATTGTGGGACTTATATAAGGTGACTTCAAAAGTTCATGGAAAAATGATATTAATACAGAAGATATTGCCAATTCATCTTTCTAAAAGTTCTCATTATTTGTAGAATGGGGTGCCTCCAGGCACTTCATTGGGAAGCTAGGTTGTTGACCCACAGACCTAGAGCCTTTGGGATGAGGTGTCATTTGGGCATTTATGATCAGCCCTGAGAGATCTCTGAAGCATTGGCCAAGCAAGGTAGAGACCAGGCCAAGTTGGAAGGCCAGAGAAAAGCCTGACCAAAGAACCGTGCCCTGAGATTTCTGAACCAGTTAA